GGAATGCTGAAACTCTGGCTCTGCCTCCTGCTCATCCTCTCTCTGTTAGAGCTCCTCCACCCTGCCCTTCCTGTTCCCCCTGAGGATCCACTCTCTGGCCAGGCCAGAATATAGAACTACTGGCCCAAACCTCTCTCTCCATCAGGGGCTGATCAAAGCCCCACTGTACCCCCCAAATGTTCCATTGTGCTCACCCTAGTGTGTGAGCCCTACTGCTCTTGGCTATAGTAAAAGCCACCCAGGAAGCCTGGGTAGCGTTTGTGAGCCTCAAACACTCCACCTGATGTGGACAGAGGAACATGGTGCCCAAGAGCTGCTACCAGCCTGTGTCCCTTCCCCCGATCCTTAGTTGACAATTTACAATTATCACTCAAGATGGAGGTTCATGGCCGACATCATCAGATTTATGTAGGGTTGCCAGGTGTCCAGTTTTGAACCAGACAGTCCAGTATTTGAGCTTTCAGTTCAGGAAACAAATTGAGAAAATATAAATATCCGGTATTTTCTAAATAAGATGTAATGTAGATTATGATGTAATGTCAAGTGTATCCAGTATTTTTGTTGAAACCATCTGGCAACCCTAGTTTCATGCTAGCTCCTTCCAGTCTGGATCCCTAAAATAAGCACTCTTGGTATTGTGTCAACCAACACAGCAGTGTCATGTTCAGATTTGGGAGATAAATATAATTCCTCTCTCTGTAATATATAGAGGACAGGTTAGATGAGAGCTTCTGTTTTATAAACACCTGTAAAAATCTATTTATTTTATATCAATTTAATGTGGTTATGTTAATTTAAAAGTGTGGGTGATATTTTTCTCTCTTCTTCATCAATTATAATGTCTAATTATAAGTGAATTAGACAGCATTTTCTGTGTAATTTGGGTGTAAAATAAGTACAGGTAAGTTAAGCAAGTGGATTTGAAGGAAAAACTTGAAGAAATCCTTTAAAAGCCAATCAACATAAACTATTTTATATTCCTTTCTTTGTATTAAGAGGTTTAAAGTATTCACATTTGAGGAACATCGGAGGATGCTGTCATTAGAAGATTTGCAACACAGACAGACAAAGCTGTGAAAAGATATGAGGAAACTCTTAATAATGGAGAATTGGAGATAGCAGGGATTTTATAGCAGGGATTTTATGTGACTTGATTTGGCTTCTGGGAATTAAGATTATTTCTCTGCCAAAACTCAGAAACTGGGTGGGATTGACACTCTGTGCATCAGGCAACCAAGTAGGCTGAACAAACGTAGTTATATTCCATGATGTAGGATGTTCCAAGAGTTTTAATCAGAATCCTAAAATGCTCTTTTTTTATTGTTTCCATATTAAAGAAATTCACATTTAAGATTTAAAATGATCATCAATACTTACATAAAAATGTGTCTAACATTTCCAGAAGTTATTTCCTGACATTCATAAAGTACAGTATTTCCCTTTAACATGCATACTGAATATAAAGTACATCGCATATTATGATCAGACAAATTTTAATAAGAAAGTCAGCATATTCCTAAACAACATGAAAGATGTACTTATAAGGAGAGAGAAATTCTCATTGCCAATCAGTTCAACAAGGCAACATAATATATTCATTAAATATACCATTTGCATCTAGGTATCAGCTAGTTTAAATTAAATCTACAGTAATGCTTCTGATACGTCTTTTAGAAACAACTTTGATATACTTGAAACTTGCCGGGAAAATTACTGACACATTTCTTATAGCAATTTTTCTCATTGCTTTCATGCCCAGAGAGGTAGGAATTACATAGTCACATTGGCATGTTAATTTATATGTGTATATGACTAGCTACTTCCCCCTGAACATACTTTGTTATTGTCCTGCTATTTTCCTGCTTTCTTTTAAATGCATGCCTAGACTGTACCCATAGTGGCACAGCCCTCATTTGGAGGAGACCAAAGGCGAGTGCCCCATAGTCAGCCCTGGGAGATACTACCTTTCAGAGTTCCCTAATGTGAAGGGCAGCATGCACTCTGCTAATCCTCTTCAAGGGGTGCAGTCTGCCATCTTCCATGTTCCTGGACAAATATGCAGATTAGTACATGGCAATAAGGTGGACTTGGAGTCCTGGATTTTTATGCTTCACCTCCATTTTGGGACTGTGAGGGATCAGTCCCTATGTTCCCTGATCTGAGGAATTGAAATTCTGCATGGCTCTGATGTGTGTTGCACAAGGGAAAAAGGGAAACTTCTTACTCTCTCTCCATCATTGGATCAATGGATGTGGGCAGAGCAAAATCTAAGTCCATAGTTAATGGTGCATTGCTAAATAACGTATGGAGCTATGCATCTGTGTTTCCAATTAAATGGATTTATTCAAATTCTAACTGTGAATCCATAGATAAAAATGATGTCAACCTCAAAATGTTTCTAATGCCCTGCGGGACTAAACAACCATTCTGTAGTGAAGTACATTTAGTTATTCCACTGGAATCTATATTCCAGACAGGGATGTTAATACAAATCTAGAATGTTTTGGAGGGCTAATAAAAAGTTAAAATGAATTAATGCAGCACTCCAGTATCTGAGTTTTGGCAAAAAAGTCCCTGTCCCATGTAATTTACTACAGGAAAGAAATCACTGGGATGGAAAACATATGCAATAGCAAAACAGGGGACCTGTCACATCAATTCTGTGTCAATCTGTATCCATCTAGTTAATGCAGACTTATATTCTTCCCTCATTCATTCACCGTTCTCTCTTTCTCATTCCCTTCCTCTCTCTGACTAATGTTTTGCATTGATTTTCGGAAGCCATAAATAGTCCCATGTTTTGAATAACAGAATTGGGAGACATCTTGTTTATCTAACAACAAGAAAATATCCTGTGGTCTCCTAAACTTGTAAAGATGCTGATGTCTTCGGGCTATAACTTACCTCTAAATTATACATGTAGCATTTGAACCATCTTGTGTTGTTTGGAGAGCTAAAATGCTACCCAATCAGCTCAGGTAAGTCATTCAAGTGAAAACTTGTCTAAAATTTATATTAAATGTGAAAACTTCTATACGGTGCTCACTCCCTGATGACTTTTTCATGATTTCTCTGCTGAATTTTGGTTTTAATACATCAGGATAAGTAAATAAGCCATTTCATTTTTATTTTCCCTTCCATGAAATACTTCAAGTAACTTGATTAATGTTCAAAACCAATATTTGTGCAGCCACATAATGTAATTAAAATTTCATAAAATAGCTATAATCATCATAGCTCAGTAATAAGCAACCTTATTTATCAGTCAAATTATTTCTTTGGATTTTCAACCAGCACTGTATTCAGCTAGCTAAATAATCTTTTCTTTTCTTTTTTTCCTGCAGGAGGCTTGCATTTTAAAACAGACACTTGAAGTTATAGCCTGTATTTCTTGCCCATACCCAGCAAATATTTCATTGCAGAATGTTCTGTACAGGACTGTATTGAAGTTAGGTTGATTTATCCCTGAAAGTGTGTGTGGCTGAACTTCATTTTAAACCTTCTGTCTAGACTGTTTTTTTTTTGTTTTTTTTTAAATCTTGGATTGATACTAAGTTTGCCATAAGCCAGTTAAGATGTCAGGCAGTGTCCAGTAGCTTTTTTGTTGTTATTTACAATACTGTGGTGGAAGTTTTAACTCTACGTGAGCCTTTGCTATCAACAACAATATTGGCAGGTGGAACCTTAAATTTTATTTTAAAAAGATATTTGGTTATTTCCATTGAGTTTTGTACAATCTCTACCCTGAAAATACTACCTTCACCATCCAAGAATGCAGGATATTGAATGATTTAAAGTGCAGTTCTACTATCAGCAGTCACTTTGAGCAACATGGGATTCCACATATTCTCGGTGACAATGATTTCCAGGTAATTTATTTAATTTACAGGTAAAAAGGTGGTCTCTCTCTCTCTCTCTCTTTCTCTCTCTTTACCAATCATGTAAACTTGGCCCGAGATCTGAAAGCCAAACTGCGTACTGTCTGGCTTGGATACTGTCATCTGTGAAACATTCTGCAGGCATCCGCCAGCTATAGCTATGAAAGGGAAACCCATTTATTCTCAAGTTCTGCCCTCAGTTACTTGTATGGCCTATTGTGTTTAGTGTGATTTCACAGGTGCCAGTGAGTGCACAGGGCTGGACAAGATAACCTCCTAAGGTTCCTTCCAATTCTGTATCTAGGATTCTATAATTTGAAAGTATTTGGGTTACACAGGTGGCCCTGCAGATGAAGCTTAGGTAATAATTCTGTTGTGAAAGCTTAAAAAGAATCCAATTTACTATCCTGGGGCTGTGTGAATTCCTCAGGGATGACGGAAGATTAAACAGCAATGAACTCATCTCCATGTTAGTTGAAAAGGGGTGACTGCTAAAGTAAGAATATGCTAGTTTTACACAATCACTATTTTCACATAAAAAGTCATATGTGGGTCCTGCAGCTTAGCAGGCCTGGGATGGAAGTTTCCATCCTAGCTGTAAACAGCCTGGTAAAACCTCGTACCTTGCAAGCACAAACAGCAGCTGGGCGATATCAGTTTTAACCCATGCCTTGAGCTGGGAAACTACTAAGTGGTAAACAAGTTTGATTTTGGTTCCCAGCCCCATGGGAACATTGAGAGTAGTGTTGGGCCAGCTCACAGACTCTCAGTAAACAACTGTAGTATAACTAGTATAGGGAGTCCCAGGCTGGTGAGTTTCACCAGGGACCTAAACCACAGAGTGTGCCTTGGATTCTCCCAGCTGGAGCCATGTCCACTACAGGCTGGTGCAAAGTGACAGGAATGGGACTTCCCGCAGACTGAAGGGGCATAAGCATTTCTAAGTGCCTGTTGCTCTCTTATGCATTGCTTTGTCTTTTCTTATTGACATGTCACTTTGCAGGAGCTGTGTAACCATCTGGAAATATTAAGCCTGTAATAGTAGTGACATGGTGATTAATAAAAGCAACTATCCCTAATCAACTCTGCTCTGAAGCGAATCTATAAACCTGTTTGACCATGCCCCTGTCAGCTGACAACTATTCAGTGTGTAAACACAATTTAATGCTATTCCAATATAAGGAATGCCTACACTGCACACTTGTGTAAACTATACCCCATAGCATGGGTATAAATAGTAGTGTAGATGGAGAGACACTGCTTATGCAAGTAAAATACAGGACTATGTAGCACTTTAAGACTAACAAGATGGTTTATTAGATGATGAGCTTTCGTGGGCCAGACCCTGAGGAAGTGGGTCTAGCCCACAAAAGCTCATCATCTAATAAACCATCTTGTTAGTCTTTAAAGTGCTACATTGTCCTGCATTTTGTTTCAGCTACACCAGACCAACACGGCTACATTTCTATCACTATTCTATATGCAAGTAAAGACATTCCTGAGGCCAGTAGCTACATACCCCACACAGTTCTAGACTGTTCCAAGCAGTGCCTTCCCATTTACACTGCTATTTTTTGCAATATTGTGTCCCACTGTTGGAGTGGAACTTTTTTGCTGCCTTGGCCTTTTAGAGACATTTATAGCTACAAGCCACAGCGCCAATCTTATATGAATCTGCGACTAGTGGATAGACATATTTGTACTGTACGGCAATCAGAAAGCAATTCTGTGACTATCACAGCCTCAGACAGTCATTGATTGGTGACCCTGTTTTGCATTCTAGAAGGAACTTGGAATATAACCAAAGGGTGTTCCCAATGTACCTCATGATTAATTATCCAACCATCTTCCAGTTCTTCAAACATTCTACTGTTAGAATTTTGCCAAGATATGCTTCAGCTCATCCATCTATTAAAATAACCAGTAGCTATGAAAAGGGGTACCATTAATAACAGACATCTCATAATGCTATGATTGTGAGTCAATAGTCTAGACTCTTCTCATGAGTACAAATTCTGTGTGGCCATGTTTACTCTAAAGCCATGGTTTGATGGTTGTGAAACAGCAGCTCTGAATACCTGGTTCATTAGGCCAGTGGTTCCCAACCTTTTTTATACCACAGACTGGCAAACCCATTCACAAACTTTTGGTGGGCCAGTAACATTGTATTTTGCATATGCAAATAATCAGGGCTCGCCAAACCACGCACACGCTCATGCACAGATCTCCCGAACCCGGTTCTTCCGGGTTGCAATCTACTTGCCACAGCTGAGTAGATTGCATTATTTTTCAAGCCCTGCAAATAATGAAAATGTAAATAAATGTTACTTATCTGCTAAGAGCTCTGGCCCCCAGAGGCCCCCGGGGGGGGGCGCCTGCCGCAGCTGAAAGCAGCTGTTCATGGCAGCTCTGGGGGTTCAGGCTGGGGTACACCCAGCCCCCCCAAGTTCCCTAATGCCAGCCCTAACCCCTAGAGAGCCCCCACCCATCCATTACCCTCCAGCACAAGCCAGTGACTCCAGAGTCCCCTGTACCCAGCCCCCCCACCAGTGCCAGTCTCCTGTCCTCAGAGTCCCCTACTGATAGCACCCCCATCCCAAACACCTCAGTGCCAGCCTCCCACCACTTAGAGCCCCCCCACCATCAGATCCCCTTGTGCCAGCCTCCTGTTTTCAGAGTCCCATCTGAGCACTGCTGCTCAGGTTGCATCTGTTCTAAGGCTGCTGTGCTGGGCCCCACGTGGCCCTCCTGCCATGTAGTGAACCGCTGTTCTACATCCGGGAGGAGAACCTGCTCCTGTCTCCTCTCTGTCCAGAATGTACTCATGAGGTTTGAGTTGGTACATTTATTCCCTGGTTGGCTTTTTTAATATCACCTTTATTGTTTTGAACTAGTTTGATTTATGTTTATTTACATGGAATACCCTTCATTTTCATTATTTCCTGAGATGGTCTTAATGCTCATCCATCCTATTGGTCCTGTTGCCAATATCTTTTTTATTGAAACCTAAATTAGATAACACAACATCAATCACCTGCCCAAGCAATCAAATTCAGCAATGCGTAAGGAAAAGGGAAGGTAAAAATAGGACAAAGTGTAAAATTTGCTATGAAGAGGGAAATTATTAACATTAGCAATCTTGCTTTCAGGAATACTTTTCTGTGTCTTTGTTACATAAACATAAAACTGTTAAATTAAAATTGAGTGACACATGCCTTTTATGGAATTTCTCTGAGGTGCTTGTTTAGATTCTGCAAACAACTAGGGTATGTCTACACTACCCCGCTAGTTCGAACTAGCGGGGTAGTGTAGACATACCCTGGTTGCTGAGAGGTTGGTGGGACAGGGCACATCTCTCCCCAGAGCTGCAGTAGGAGTGGAGGTGCTAGGCAGTGCACCCTAGCCCTGGCTCTGAGACCTGCCGCAACCCGGCAGCCAGCAGTTCAATGCTCAGCACTGGGCTGCGGACCAGAAGTTGGGAACCACTGCTTTAGGCAACAGTCAACTGATTCATCTGAGCACTGTTCTAGTTGCACCTTTGGACTTTCACCCATCATAGAACAATACATGGAAGAATTCTAAATTAAAAGGCAATTAGAATTATCTTGAATTCCAAAAAGAGACTGGATGATCTTAATAGCACCTTCCAGCCATAACATCTAGGCATCTATCAACTGTCAGTCAACCTTGAAAATAAAAACAGTAGGGCTACTCTGGGCTGAATTTTCTTCAGGCAAAACTCCTAATTGATGTAAAAAGAAATGTTGCCCTATTTAGGAATAGAGAATTAGGCTTCACTTCATGTCAGAGTTCAGAATAAGCTAGAATATAAATGTCTTCCTCAAAATGAGTGATCTTTTGGGGATAACTAAACAAACTGAATACCAGTATAATTAAAAAGGAGCCAAATATTCTAATGTTTGGGGTCTTTTTATAGCTATGAAAAGTTGATCCGATTTTTTTTTCCAGAGCCAAGGGATCCAATGATCTGAAGCTACTGACAGTGGATGTTCTCCAGAGATACATAAAGCAGTAAGCATATGATGAGCTTTCATGCAGCCTCTTTTCTATCACTCAGCTTCCTTTTCACTGTGTGCAACTTTCTGATTAGAATTATTCTGCATAAAGTTAACAATTATTTAATAAAAATGAAGCTAACATTGAAAATGAAATGGAAATTAAACTTGGCAAGCATTTTATCTTGAAATGGCTGGCATCCTATCTTCACATGGCTGTCTCCCCAGATATAATATGAATCTATAAAATGGGTCCCCAGAAAAGCCAAATGCTACTCCTATTTCAGAACCCAAATGTGCAAGAAAACATACAGGCAAATTGGAGGGGAACTCATACACATTCATAAAATTTTCTATGAACAAGGCAATATCAACTATGCCTACCTGTGAAAGCTAATTACTGGAAAACATTTTCACTGATACATTTATATTCTGTTCCACTTCCAGATGATAAG